ACCCCCCCCCGGGCCCCCAGCCCCAGCCCATTGCCGCTCAGATTCAGCACCCGCAGCCCCTCCAGCCCTGCCAGACACCCCCCTGTCCCCCAGCCCTGCCCAAGGGCATTGCGGGAGAGATCCAGGACCTGGAGGCCAGCCAGTGCTGGGGGGGCAGCCTCCCTGCACCCCCTCAGCCCGTTCCCCGACAGGTTCAGAGCCTGAAGCCCTGTGGCCTCCCCCAGCTCCTCCCACACCCCCACCAGGTCCCGGAGCCGGTTGAAGGAGAGATCGAGCTTGCCCAGGCCCCGTGTCAGCACCCGCAGCCCCCAAGCCGACACCAGGCGGTTGCGGCCTAGCAGGAGGCACCGCAGGGTAGGCAGGGGCCCCGGGGGCACCCGCTGCAGGGCGTTGTCCCGTAGATCCAGCATCCGTAGCATTGTGAACCCCTTCAGTGCCCCCGGCTCCACTGCCCCGACATGGTTCCCGCTGAGGTCCAGGCTCTCCAGGGGGGAAGCCCACAGACTTTGCAGTCCCTCCACACCCAGCTCCCCCAGCAGATTCCCAGAGAGATCCAGCACCCGCAGGCTCTGGAGCCCGGCAAAGGCATTGGCGTGGATGCGATGGAGCCGGTTGCCAGACAAGTTCAGCTCCTGAAGCTCAGGCAGCGGTGAAAAGATGCGGGGTCCCAGCTCAGCCACAAAGCAGCCAGACATATCCAGCGCCTGCAGCCCCTTGCCCCAGAGCCCCACAAAAGTCTCGGCTGATGGATCCTGCAGGTTCCTGAAGCCAAAGTTGCTGCCAACAGCACCCGAGCGCCGGAGACGGAGACGCCCCAGCCTGGCGCCTTCCAGGGTCTGTAAGAACCGTCCCAGCCTGGCCACATCCCAAGGGTTGGAGGAGACATCAAGTGTGTCCACAGTGAGATTGAGGAAGGGGCTCCCACAGGCTCCGACCTCCGCTCCCCAGAGCCGGTTGTCGGAGAGATCCAGCAGGGTCAAGTGCCGCCCAGCCAGAGCTGCCAGGTCCCCATCGCACACTGCCCTGATGCTGTTCAGCCTCAGGTTTAGTGTCTCCAGTGCCCTCAGGGCCTGGAAGCTGGGGTCCAGGTGCAGGCGCCGGATCTGGTTGCCACTCAGATCCAGGTGCCGCAGAGACACCAGGTCACGGAAGAAGCCACCCTCCAACACAGCCTCATCCAGCCCATTGGCATCCAGCAGCAGCACCTCAAGCTGGCCCAGGCCGGCCAGGGCCACGGGGTCCAGGCTCAGTGCTTTGTTGCCCCCCAGGTCCAGGTGGGTGAGGTTGGGGAGGTTGGCAAAGGCGCCTGGGCCCACACGCAGGGTGCCCCCCAGTTGCTGCCCCAGGTACAGCTTCTGGAGCTGCCCCAGGTGGGGGAAGGAGGTGACCGTGAGCTCCATCAGGCGGTTGAAGGGCATCAGGAGGATGCGGGTGGCAGGGTCGATCGGGGGCACCATGTGGTGTCCCTGGGCTGGGCAGGCAGTCACCATGGCCCCATGGACTATGGAGACCTGGCAGGTCCCAGCGCCAGCTGTCCGTAGCACCACAAGGGCCAGCAGAGCCAGCACTGCACCTACAGGGGCAATGGAGGGGGGTGAGTGCCCAGTGGGTGCAGGGGGTCACCATCAGCCTCTGTGCCCAAGCCAGGCAGCATGGGGAGGGCCGAGACCCCTCTGTACCGGGGTGGATGGATAGATGGATGGAGAGGGATGAGGAGGGGAAGGAGGGAGAGATGGAGAGGAATGGCAGACAAAGTAGCAGGGTATAAGGTACAGGGACAGATAGACAAGCAGACAGGCAGGAGTATGAGGATGGATGGATAGAGACAGGCAGATAGAGGGGGCCTGGGGGGTGGATGGATGGGCGGCACTTGGGAGCATATGGGGGGATAGATGAACAAGCAGACAAGCAAGTAGATGAACAGAGACGGACAGCTGGACAGACACTCTGATAGATAGATGGGGGGATGGATGGAGAGGGCAGGATAGATGGAAAGACAGGCGGATGGACGGGCACAGACGGACAGAGTGGGGTGTAAAGGGATGGGTGAATGGGGAGGAGAAGGCCATGGCATTGCCAGCGCCCGCACCTCTGCTACTGGCAGCCCCTGGTGAGGGGCAGCGATAGGAGCCCTGGTGCCCGGGCAGGGGCCTCAGGGCAGCCCTGAGCCGTCACCCTCTCCACCCTGTCTCCCTGACTCACCGTGAGGGGCCCAGGCCCCAAGCCACCCGCTCCGTGTTGCACCCATCGTCCCTGTCGCCCGCTGCGTACTTGGTGCTGTATATAACCCCTGGCCAGTGGCAGTGGGGGGGGCAGGGGGTGTTCGGCTCTTGCCCCAGATGCTCTTAGCTCAGAAGGCCTCAAGGAACTTGCACAACCAAGGAAATTCCCCCACCAGCCCCAGCCCTGCTTCCGCGTTGGAGAGAACCCAAGTGCCCGGGCTCCCTGCCCCTCCGGCTCACCCCTCAGCCCCCACTCCCCTCCCAGCACTGGCAAGAACCCAGCCGTGCAGGCTCCCAGCCCCAACAACTTCAGTGGCATCGTCCCCCAGGTGGTCCCTTCCTGATCCCCAGGCACAAGAGGTCTTGGACCCACCCAAGAGCCCGGGGGTTGCAGGGCAGTGAGACCTGCGGATTTCAGTGCCTTGCCTCTGGCCCCATCGCCGTGTCTGCTGGGGAGAAGGATCCTCCAGCTGCCTCAGACCATGGGGTTTGGGGCTTGTCGGGGCACAGGCTGCATCCCACTGGGTCTGTGCAGTGCACAGGGGGATCTACAGATCTCAGCCTGGGGGGTCTACAGTGCCCAGCACCCCCTGATCTTGGCCTGGGGGTCTGTACAGCACCCAGCGCCCGCCGATCTCAGCATGGGGGGTCTGAACAGAGGCCTGTAACACCTTGCTCTGGGCTTTCCCCCTGCCCTACCCTGGTGCCTGGGAACGCTCCAGATTGCAACTCCCCACCCCAGCCCTCCAGCGCGGTGAGGACAGGACAGGACAGGACGTCCCAGGGCTGAGGGGATGTTACAACACCGGGGACATTGCAATCAGCCTGGCGTGCGGGTCTGCCCCCCCAAGAGCGAGGGGCTCTCACTGCTCCAGGGGGGCAAAATCAAGGCTTGCACAGAACCCCCGGTACCAGGGCAGGGGGCAGATGTGGGCAGGGGTAAAGGAGTCACAGAGACACCGTGAGACGGTGGGTGGGTTTATTGAGTGTGGCCCCCGCCTGAATGGAGTAGAGGGGGGCAAAGGGCACACATGGGCTCCCCCCTACCTCGGGGAAGCCCCAGAGCCCCTCCTGCAGCACAGGGCGGGAGCAGTACACAGGGGTGCAACCCCAGCCCCCCCAGCATCACCCCAGGGCAGGGGCAAGCCCCACCCCTACAGCTTGCCTTGCCCCCATCCCTAGTGCTCCTCGGCCACGCCCACATCACTGGCCACGCCCCAACACTACCCCCAGCTGGCCACACCCACACCATGAGCCATGCCCCAACCTTAGCCACACCCCAGCACTGGCCACACCCATCAGCACCCTCAGTTGGCCGTGCCCCCATCTGTAGCCACACCCATTGGTTGGCCATGCCCCCTATCCTTAGCCACACCCATTACCACCCCAGTTGGCCACACCCATATCCTCAGTCACACCCCCATCACTGGCCACACCTTTGCCCTTAGCCACACCTCTTTCACTGGCCCCAGACACCCCAGTGTCTTCCCCCCACCCCCCCAGGGTCAGAGGGCGAAGCTACCCGCGCTCACAGATGACCTCCACGACGCTGGGCTCCATGGGCACGGGGTCGAGGCAGCGGTGGGCGGCGCTGGCCACAATCTCGTCCAGCAGCCCGTGCACCAGCCCCTCGTCGCCCACAAAGCGCCACAGGTAGAGCTGCAGGTAGTGACAGTCCACCTGCACCTGCTGCAGCCCGAAGCGCCCGAACGTGCGCAGCCGCACGCACTCCAGGAAGCTCTTCAGGCTGATCTTCACGATGCCCGTCAGCACCGAGACCTGCGGGGGGCAGGCACCATGAGCTAGGGGCCCCCGCTCACCCCCCAGATGAATGGGGTGTGTGGAATATGACCCGTGGTCCCCTGGAAAGAATGGGGGGGCCTGTTATGGGTGGGGGGGTCATCTCAGCTGGGCCAAGGGTATTGGGGGACCAGCTCCTCGCAGCTCCGTCTGGCAGGGGGCAAGGTCTGTACTGGGGGTCCCAAGGGGACATGGGGGAAACTGTCTGCCATGTGGTGACAGGGGACTCAGCCTGTGTCAAGGGAGGGCAACTGCATCTATCGGGGTCCCAAGGGGACACGGGGGCTGTCTGTCATGGGCATCACAGGGGACCCGGCCTGTGTTGGGTGCTCCGTCTCTCAGCGGGTCCCAAAGGTACAAGGGGGCTCTGTCTCGGGCAGGCCTCAGGGGTCCCAGCCGATGTCTGTGGGTGTTTGGAGCAGGGGGGCTCTGTCCCTCAGGGGGCCCTGTTGTGGGGGGTGGACTGGGGGGCTCACCTTATTGAACTCCACAGGGCTGAAAATGTCAATGCGCTCGGAGAAAAGCTTCTGGATGTTGCTCAGCAGGTTCGTGTCCATGGGGGCACTGGGAAGGGAGGGGCAGGGATTTAGTCCAGCAAGGACCCCTGCCCCCACAAGCTGTGCCGGTGCCCCTCACTCCTGACCCGCAGCCCCCTGCCCCCACAAGCCGTGCCGGTGCTCCTCACTCCTGACCTGCAGCCCCCTCACCTGGGGGTGTAGCTAGGTGCATAGCGGCCCTGCTGCCGGGAGCTGCTGTACACGGAGAAGGTCCTCTTGCTGGAGTCGCTGCTCTGGGCCTTGCGCACACCTTCCTCATAGAGCAGCCCCACCTGGGCAAGGAGATGGTGGGGCAGGGGGAGAAAAGTCAGGCCAGGCTCAGGAGCCCCTGCCCCTCACTCCTGATTCACAGCCCCTGGCCTCGCAGGTGCCCCTCACTCCCGATCCACAGCCCCCACCTGCACATCGATGGCAGTGGTGTCCTCCACGACGCGCTTCATGACGGCGCGCACGGTGCGGGGCTCGATGGTGCCCACCCAGTCGCGCGTCTCCACGCTCTTGCGCAGCATCTGGGACACAGCCAGGCCCTGCACCCGCACGTAGTGGGTGAGGAGGCGCTGGGCGGCCGCCCGGGCCTCGGCGCACAGCACGCTGCCTGGCGTCCCTGCCACCTCGGCCTGCAGGGCAAGGGAAGCATCAGGGCTGGGGGCAGGGGAGCCAGGAGCCTCCATCACAGCAAGGGCAGCCAGGACCCCCCCCTTAGATCCAGGACAGCTGCGACCCCTCCCCTTCAAGCGAGACTCAGGGGAGCTGGGAACCCCCATCACAGCACGGGCAGATGGGACCCTCCATTAGATCCAGGACTCTCTTCCCACTCAACTCAGGGCAGCAGGGATGCCCACCCCGAAACCCTGGAGCTGGGATTCCCCCCCCCCATTAAATCAAGGGGCAGCTGGGACCCCTCATCACAGCACGGGCAGCTGGGATCCCCTGCTCCCCCCATTAGATCCAGGGGACCCTGGGATCAGGGTAGACAAGATCCCTCCCCCTCATCATAGTGAGGGCAGCTGGGACCCCCCAGCCTTATCCTGAGATAACCCCCTCCCCCAGAAGGATGGAGGGTCCCAGAAGAGCCCACCCAAATCCCTCCAACCTTGTCCTTATGGGGTCAGTGATCCCTCAGCCTGCCCACCCAGGCCCCGAGGGGCGGTCTAGGGGATTGAGAGGCCTGACTTCAAATATAAGGGTTTCCTTGAGGAGACCCCCAAGGCTGCCCCCCGCCCCCCCAGCTGCTTTTGACCTAGTCTCTGGGGTTGACACACTTCTATCGAAACAGGACCCCAGCCCCTTAGTCCTGGGACAAGCGGCTTCTGGGACCGAGATACCTGGATCTAGGTATTCCCCCTACCCCCAGCCCTAGTTCCAAGACAAACAGCCTCTGGTGTTGAGACACCTCTATCCAGACAGAAGTAATCTCAGCCCTGTAGCTCTGTGGCAAGCACCTTCCAGGACTGAGACACCTGGATCTAGGTACTCCTCTGCCATCAGCCCCTTAGCTCCAGGACAAGCAGCCTCTGGGACTGAGACACCTGTATCCACACAGGACCCCAACCCCTTGGTCCTGAGACCAGCAGCCTCCAGGACTAAGACACCTGGATCTAGACACCCCCACCACCCCGAGCTCCAGGACAAGTGGCCTCTGAGGTTAAGACACCTCACCCTGCCCCAACCCACCCCAG